CACTGCCGCCCGCGCCCCGCCCCATCTGGCCGCTTGCGCGCCCCATCCCCCCTCGATGGGGCCCGCCCACACCGGGGCCTCCCCCCTCCCGCCCACTGCTTTCTCAACGGCCCCGAGCCGGGGCTGCCCTCATTGCATACATAGTGCGCCTTTCCCTGCTTTTCTAGTGACCTAGCGTTCCGCACTGCCGTTTGGCCAGCCCATGCTCCCGTACCGTTGCGTTTCTCCCCAATGCGCCATGCCACTTTGCCAGTCATACACACGTTTCGATGCGTGCCCTGTCAGCTGCTTGCGTTGCATGTCGCCTTGCTCCACCCCTGTTTTATTGCTTTCTCTGCTTTCGCCCGGTTCCCGTCCCGTTTCGGCGGGGAGTCTATGTTGCAAGCTAGTTCTTGCTTTACCAGACTTTAAGCCCACACAAGCAAGAGCCTGCAATGAGAGCAGGCGCAGGCGCAGCCACATAGTGAGCGCATGCACGCTTGGAAAGGGGGCAGCAGAACGCTGCAGGCAGCCATGAGCAAGCTGGCACCATCTGCCACGCAGACCAGCGGAGTGAGGGCAGTTTGAATTGGAAAGGACAAGGAGCACAGCTGGCACAGTCGTTGGCCATCGGACCATTGCGGCGGCCCTCCCCACGATGCCGAGGCAGCCGCCTGCGCACCCGGCACCAGCTTCTGGATAGCCGCCACATACGCCTTCCGCTTCTGGGATGTGACCTGGTCGGGGGCCAGGTCGTACCACTTGACTGTGATCATGGCTGCTGGGCGGCTGCCGGGCAGCGACGGGATGGTGTCGCCGGTGCTGTCAGCCTGCAGCCATGGGGGTGGCAGCACATAAATCCATGCCTGCTTGCCAGCCTGGCCCCCTTCCCGAGTGCTGCCTGCCGCCAGCCCCTGCCCGCCTGCTGCCGCCTCCGGCCTGCCAGCCCCCACAGCGCACCAGGTAGGGATCTGCAACGACCTCGGCGTGCACCCGCCCAAACTTGCGCTGGTCCAAGTAGGCGTTCAGCCTGCCGGCGCGTAGCTTGGCCGCCAGCTGCTGCGCCGCCACCACGCCCGCCGCCACCGAGCCCGGGAACAGCGCCACCGTGTGTATCGACTGCCCCGTGTCATCCGGTTCAATGGCCACAGGTAGGATGGTGGAGCCTGCAGCTGGCGGGGAAAAGGGTCAATGGCACAGACAGCATGGAGCAAGCGGGTGGTTGACATGCATGGTGCATCTTGGGCGTGCATTGGGCCAGGCGCCAGCCCCAAAAACAGTGCAGCACGCGCCGCATGCGCACCTGGGGCCATGCGCATCAGCGTGTTCTTGTACGCCATTCTTATTCCAGCATTGAAATCCTTCTTCGATTTGATGCCCAGCAGGGTGAGGGAGAAGAAGAGGGCGGCACGCGGGCACGCGGCGGTGCCCCTTGACGCGGCGACCCCCGCTGCAGCAATCCTGCAGCCCAGGCAGCCGCCCAAGTCGGTAATTCAATCATTATTCAGCATGTCTTGTGTTGTCTGACCCACGCAAAGCGCCAGGGTTGCAAGACCGGCAGCTTGTGGGCAGCTTCTGCAACCTGTCTTCAAGCAGTGGATAAACGCTCGAGGAGGCCACGGATGGTGCTGAGCTGCTGGGTGCGTCCTGAGCGACCACAGGAAGCAGGGTGGCCTGCAGGCAGAGTTGGACGTCCATGAGAAGGGCACGCCCACCGCAGCGCGCGCAGTGCCACAGAAGCCCTGTATTCTCACCAAAAGGCCGAGAAGGGAAGCTGCCCTCAAGGCGCCTCCCCATTTCGGATTTGGGCCGCCCATCTCGCCTCTGCGAGGGCTCACTGCCCTTTGGAGCCCACCAGAAAGTGCAGCATGCTTGCACCCTTACAGTGGTGGGTCTGTGGGCGTGTATCCTTTGGCATAAGGGCTTCAATCCCCCATGCCCACGTAGACATCATGCACTGCACGTTCTCCGGTTCCTATGCTTTCGACCGGGTCCACGCACGGTTTAGAAATGCAGACGACGCTGCCAGATGGGTGAAGTCCAGACAGCACTCGGGGGGAAGGGCTGCTGCTGGTGAAGGTGCAGTGCTGCTGCCCGGCACCGCTGCACCTCTGCTTCAATGTCTTCGCTCCAGATGATGCTGATGCTGTGCTCAGTTGCATTGCAGTTGCAAAACAATTTGTTCTACTGCTGAACAAGCTGCCGGCGCGGTTAAGAGCGGCCAGGGCACAGCGCAATGGCGCTTGCGCTGTGCCGCGCTGCGGCGGCACCGCCTTGTCCCCTCCCAGTTTCCCCCCGTTCGCATCCCCTCAGCTTGTCCAGCATCTTCACCACCTTCTCCAGCATCGTCGTGCGATAAATCCCTGCCAGGTCCGGCATCTGGAGAAGCGGCTCAAGAGCGCTCACTGAGCGCTGCAAAAAATGGAGCACGCCTTGGGGGCCCTGTTGGGAGCGGCCACGGGTGAGCGGCCACGGGTGATGCCGGTGAGGCCCCCGGGAGCAGCTGCCGCCGCTGCTGCCGTCGCCCGCCTGGGGTCTCACCAGCAGCGGGCCCCTGCCCAAATTTTAGAACTTCAAAGGCCCTTCGCGGAGGTAGCCCTAGCTTTAAGCTCGTGCGGTAACCCACAAGTATCCTCACCTTTTCACCGCCGTGTAGTGGGTGCATTCCTGGAGTTCTTCCCCCGGCGGCCGCGGGAAGCAGGCGTGGAGCAAGCGCTGGCGCTGCCCGGCGGCGGCTGCTTGAATGTGGGGCCGGGGCAGTTCACCGACGACACCGAGCTGGCACTGTGCCTGGCGCGCGGGCTTGCAGGGCAGGCACCGAGCCAGGGGTTCCCCGCCAGCGCGGTCGCACGGCAGTACGCCTGGTGGTGCAAGCCAGCCAGCCATTTGACATGGGCAACGCTACGCACAACGCGTTTGGGATGCGAGGCTGGGAGGGCATCGCCGACTGTGCGGCCCAGGCCCTGCAGAATGTGCATAACGAGTACAGCGCGGCCAGCAAAGCAAACGGGGCCCTCATGCGGGCCACGCCGCTGGCCGTGTGGGCCCACCGCCTCGGCACCGATGCCATTGCGGCCTGCGCCAAGGCCGACGCCCAGCTCAGCCACCCTAACCAGGCATGCCAGGATGCCAATGCCGCGTATGTGATGGCTTGCGCCAGCCTGATTCGGTGGCCAGGGGATGCCGGCGCGGCGCTGACGGCCGCAGAGGAGCGGGCGGCGGCAAATGCTTGCCGGGAGGTGCAGGAGTGGCTGGCAGAGGCGCGGGACAACGGCGCCATGGCTGCCTACAATGCCCACGGCGCTTCGATGGGCTTTGTGAAGCATGCCTTCTGCCTGGCCTTCTACCACCTGCGGCGTCACAGCGGGTTTGTGGAGGGGCTGCGCCACACGCTACTGTGTGGCGGTGACACAGGTGGGTGGGTGGGTGGGTGGACTCGCATCGCAGCGGGGCTGGCATCTTGCTGTTGTGCTGTGCCGCTGTTGCGTTGCGCCACTCCCCAGCACGCCGCCCTCTGACGCACCCCACCGGTGTGCCTGCCCCACTCCTGCCACCACAGACACGAATGCATGCATAGTAGGTGGTGTGCTGGGCGCCAGGTACGGCGCAGCTGGCATCCCCCCAGAGCTGCGAGGCGAGGTGGAAGGGTACTCGTTTGATGGAAGCGGGCGTGGCCACAGGCGCCCGCAGCAGCTGCTGGGTAGCCAGCTGGCCCCGCTGGCTGAACGGCTGTATCAGGAGGCTGTGCAAGATGTGGGGCAGCAGTAGGCAGGGCCTTCTGCGCCCAGCACTGCCGCTCTGTGCGCCGTTCTCAGCCGAGGCATGCAAGCTATGGCATTTGCAGCAGGTGCCTGGCTGCGTTTCGGGGCTTGGGGGAGTTGTTTCACAAGCTCTTGGCAACACAAGCTGTAACAACAACAGAAAAAACGGGAGAGCAGGGTGGGGATGCGGCAATGAAATGCGCCGCCTGCCCAGAGGGCAGGCTCACAGGCTGAGCCTCACCTCGCGGCACCCCTCCCTGGCTGACCGCTCCACCGCAAACAGCACCCGCTGCGTCAGCTCGGTGATGCGCGGCCAGAAGGCGTCCGGCTGGCCGCCCGACTGGATGTGCTGCACCAGCCCGCCAAACCTCTCCCACATGCACACCTCCTGCAGGGGGAGCAGTCCAGCAGCAGCGGTGGCAGGGGCGGCAGACTCAGCAGAGGGCCAGGAGGAGGAAGAGTCGGAGGCGGTCCGTCAAAAATGCTGGCCTCAGGGCCAGCCGGCAGCCGTGGCACGCTGGCAGCGCCCCAGACAGCCCCGCTGGGGCGCTGCTGCTATCAGCCCTCGGCGCCCCAGGCGGCCCCTCACACCTGCGGCTTGGCCAGGTGGACCACCACCTCGTCGCGGCGTGTGGCATCCCACGTGTCACAATCCCGCAACCCGTGCTCGCCCGTCACCACAAAGCTGCGCAGGCAGCGCTGGGGTGGGTGGGTGTCAGCAGGGCGCACACAGGCTCTGGCATCAGGAGCTGCTGACTGCCACCTAGCCCCGCCGCGGGGGCTGCACGCAAGTTCAGTGTCCAACTGACCTCAGCACAGCACCTGCCGCATGCCTCCTCACCTGGACTGCTTCACTGAACGGGGGATCACAAAGTCATTCAGCTGGATGGTGCCCAGCGTGCCTGCCACCTCCAGCGACTGTGTGAGCGCACGGTCAAACCCTGAAGGCGGGCGGGAAGGCAGGCAGGCACACCGCTGCACTCTCAGCCTGGCCATTCGCCCTGGTGTGGCACGATGGCCGATTTCCAGGCTGGAGCCAGCCAGGCCGCTCACCGCATTCAAAGTGGCCTCGGCGCCCGCCCGAGAACAGCAGGGTGGCGCCGATGTGCAGCGGCACGCCTTCCTCATTGAATGCAGCACCAGCATGGGCGGTCACCGAGGTGGGGGCCTCAAAGCCGTATGCCCACAGGATGCCGCGCACGCAGTACCAGCCTGCGGCGCATGGACCCGGTGGACACGCAAGCGAAGGCTCGGCCTGCTACAGAAACAGGCAGGAGCAAGGCTTGCCGGCGGGGGGGCAGGCGGCATGGGGGGGGCAGGCGGCATGCTGGCGGCGACGGCAGGGCCGGCAGGGCCGGCAGGGAGGCCTGCACGACCCACCCAAGTCTCCCAGCGCGCCCAGCGGATCACAGTCCTTCTTCACACGCACATCATTCTTCAGAAAATCGCCAGCGCCTGCAGCCGCCGCACGGCGGGCACAGCAGGCACATCAGCAGCGCCCCCGCTGGTGCAGGATAGCTGGCCGCACGCCGCACAGCCCATAAAGCCAGCCAGCCAGCCGGTGAAGCCAGCCGGTGAAGCCAGGAGGTGCGCCAGCCTGCCACCCGCCGCAATCTGCTTGCCGTAAAAGGTGAAGGCCGAGGTCACAGCTTTCAGCTCTCCAACAGCTGCAGGATCTCGGAGGATCGCCGCCATGCGCTCCGTTCGGGGGCTGTGGGACCACCTGCAAACAAAAGCACCGCATGTCACGAACGCCTGCCATTCCATTGGGAGTTGGCCATTCACAGGTCGCAGCGAGTGTTGCTGCAGCAGGAGGATGCCAGGGCAGTGCCCCAGCCCTGCTACTCACATGGTGCCATCCATCAGCTGCACGCCCGCGTCGGCGCACGCCGCCAGCATGGCATCCAGCTCGACGCCGTCCACCGCCACCGGCTTCTCCACCAGCACGTGCTTGCCCGCGGCCGCTGCCTTGCGCACCCAGGGTAGGTGCAGGGCGGCGGGGAGCGTGATGTAGACGGCATCCACCCGCGGGTCGCCAACCACCTCGTCGTAGCTGCCATAGGCGGCAACGGCGCCCGCCAGCCCGCACCGCTCCAGCTGCGCCTCCGCCTTGGCCTTGTCCCGGCTGCCCACTGCCACAACCTGAACGTTGTCGGCCAGCGTTATTCCAAGGATGTTTTTGTTGGCGATGTTCTGCAGCCAGCAAGCCATATACTTGTAAACAAAACACTCGTGGGGGCAGCGGCTGGCGGCGGCGGCGAGCTAACGCAAGCCGAGTGGGTGGGCTTGCCGCCGCAAACAGGTTAGGTATGTTCTCTGGGTGAGCAGAAGGGGGAAAGGAAGCACGTGGCAGCTATTGAAGAGTTTGCTCACCGCCGCGCCGAGGATGCCGACGCCTATCATCCTAATTTTTGCGAACACTGTGTTATTAGTCTCGGCGCAAGAGTGATGACTGCCGCTTTTGCGTGAGCGGCGCAACCAGCGGCGCCAGGTCGGCCGCGCCATGCGGGATGCCATTCCTGTCTGGCGCCCGCTAGCAAAAACATCTGCCAAACTCTTGCAAGACATAAATTAAAGTACACCCTATCAGACTGTTCTGGGCACCGCGCCGGCTCAGGCCAGGATGTAGCGTGTCGTACAGAAGCGTTTCGGCCAGATGGGCTGCGACGCAAAGCGCTCGTCCGTTTCGTCCCGTGCATCCATGCACTCCCACTCCTCGGTGACGCCCTTGTCCACCGCTTGCTGCATGTCGCCCTGCGTGGGCGCCTCGTTGGCGTCATCAATCAGCACCACTGTCTCCTGGTGCGCCAGCAGCCGGAAGTTCTTGATGTCGTTGTACACGACGGGCGACTCGTGCCACCCATCGACGTGCACTATGTCGCACTTCACCCCTGGGTTCTCGCTGGCAAACTTGGGCACCGTCTGCTGGGAGTCACCCTTGATGCGGTGCCACCGCCTGGCGTGGGGCACACTCTTGTGGAACTCCACGGCTGCATCCTGGAAGGGTCCCAGCTCAAAGATGTCGAATGTGTACAGCACCGCGTCCTTGTTGACGCTGAGGTACAGCAGGGTGGAGTGGCCGGCGCCAAACCCTATTTCGCAGATGGTCTTCACGCAGGGGTTGGACGCGTGTGCAGCGTAATAAAACACCTGCCATGGGAACCTGCACCAGGGAGCCAGTGAGCTTGCGCAACGTTGGGCCACAAACCACATAGCTTGATGACCCGGCATGCTATTAAGTGGCAGCTGCCCAGACTGTCCACCGGACGTCTTCATGCGGCAAGAGTGCATGCTGCTGGCCGACTGTGGGATAGGCGGCGGACGCACCACAGGATGTTGCCAACAATCTCGCCGCGGTCGGCTTTCGAATCAAGCAGTTTTTGGTATGCCAGCATGGACCGGTAGGTTGGGCCCAAACTGAGCGGGAATTTTTCGTAGCGCCCTGCCGCAGCGCCTGCGGCACGCATTCGCACAGCAGGGTGATCAGCGCACATACGTTTCAATCAATTTCAATTCTCAAAATCGAAATTCATTCAATTCAATATAGAGCATCAAATAAACAATATAGCATATATATATATATAAGCCCCCCGGCGGCCAAAACAGGCAGGAGCGGCGGCAAACCCCTCTCCCTCCCGCCCAGCGCCGCCAACGCCGCTGACGCCCTGGGATTGGTCAGCCTGGGTCTGAGCATCCACCCACCCAGTCTTGAGCACAACTTACAGGTTGGGGCGCCGCGAGTAGCTCCCTGCGAGGCAGGCCCGGTGCACCAAATCGCAAGAGCGGTAACCGCCGATGCTGCCAATGCTACTGCAAGGTGCCCAATCCAGGGCGGCCGCTGCTGTGGCTTGTCGTGGGCAACCATGGGTGGGTGGGTGGGTGGGTGGGAGTCTGTTTAGCACCGAAGAGCAATCAGAACGGCTCCCCGTGCTTGTACCCGATTCAGGAAGGCAACAGATGGCCGTGAAAGGCTGCCGCAAGCACTTGACTTGGCAGCGTGCATATCGTGCGCCGCCTTGCCGGCGGGACGGCAATGGGATTGGCCGCTCCAGGGACCCTCACCAAACGCCCTGCCGTTACAGCACACCAAGGAGCATCATTCACTGATCTGCATCAGAATGGCCCGCAAGCCGCGGGCCTGGGAGGCCACTGTCTGCTGCCGCATTGCCTCGCCGCCGCCGCTGGCCTGCGCAGGCACGGGGCCCATGGGTGCGGCCGCCATGCCCACGCCCGCCGCCTCCACGTCCTCCAGGTATGCCAGCAGGTCGGCCACCAGGGCATCCTTCAGCACCAGCATGTTTTTGGCCACCTGGTCCAGCAGGACCAGCAGGCACAGCGCCACGCCGCGCCACCGCGCCGCGTCCAGCCCGCCCGGCAGCGGCTCCAGGCTGCGCATCACCCGCGTGACGCCAAACTCAAAGTTTCCTGCAGGTAGGGGGTGGCAGCTAGTGCAGGCTTGGGTGGGGGGTGCTGGAGCAGGGAGGCAGGCTTTGTGGGGGGCAGGCCTGCATTGCAAGCCATTCCAAGCTTGGTCGGCAGGGCTGTCAATGGCGGATCTGATGCCATGCTGCTCCCGCTGTTCCTGGGCATCAGACAGCCCGTGCCAGGGTCAGCACATGCCTTTGGCGCAGTACAGCGTGCCGATGGCGAGGTTGGTGAGGGGCAGGTGGGGCGTGGGCGGCTGGCCGCCCGCCGCCGCCGCCGCCGACTCGTCCTCCAGCCTGCGCAGCAGCTCCTCGGCCACCTCGTTCTGCCCCGCCACCACGTGGCACACGCACAGGTTGGCCAGCGCGCTGGGGGGCACCTCCAGCAGGCTGCCACCGCCGCCGCCGCCGCCGCCGCCGCTGCCTCCCGCAAAGTGCTGCACCAGGGACTCGTAGAGCTCTGCTGCCTCGGCCACCCGCCCTCCATCCTGGGCGACCAGCGCATGCGCCAGGTTGAGGCGCCAGGTGGGGTGGTCGGAGCAGAACTCGGCCGACTGCTGCAGCACCTCCTGCACCCGCCCGTACGCCCCCGCCTCCCAGTGAACCTGCGCCAGGCTCATCAGCACTGCGGCAGCAGGCATGGGGAGGCGGGGAGGGGCATCGTCCAGGCAGCAGGCAGGTGGGACAGGCAGGCAGCAGGCTCTGGCTTGAGCCGCAATCAGCCTCAACACGCCTGTGTGATTACAACTGCCTGCCGTTTAGGTGCGCCCGAATCCCGCCTGCCCCTGCCCTCCCTGCCTCGCTGCTCCCTGTTGCCCCCAACTGCCCCACACTGCCCCTCACAGCCTTAGCCGCTGCCTTGCCTGACGCAGGCCCCCCCACCTGGTATGTATGCCTCCAAGGCCTGCTCATACGCCTCCAGCCCAGCCGCCGCGCCCGCCTGGTCGCCCGCCCACCGCGCATCCTGCACCGCCTTGACGCGGCGGCGCAGCCCCTCGATGTGCACCCCCGCCGCCGCATCCAGCCTGGCCGCCGCCTCCTCCTCTGACCGCCGCCGCGCCAGGCAGGCCTCGTACAGCGGCAGCAGCTCGGCGGGGACGTGCGCCGCCACCAGCGCGGCATGGTCTTGCAGCAGCCGCTCAGCCACCGCCGCGCGGTCCACACACGGCGTGCCGCCGGGGCCGACGCCTCCCGCGCTGCCGCCGGCCTCGTCGGGGCGGCAGCACAGGGACAGCAGGTTGCCGGCCAGCTCCGGCGGGAAGGGCGGGTGGGACAGCAGGTGCGCCAGCTTGTGCATACCCGCCTCGCGCGCCGCGGCGCCGCCCTGCGCCAGCCCCACCAGCGCGCGGTTGTGCAGGGTGACGGGGTCCAGCTCGCGCTCCTGCCGTGGCGGCATGTCGCTCAGCGCCGCCGCCGCGCCTGCGCCGGCGAGGGGCAGATGCGAGGGTGCACCAGGGCTGGGGCCCGGCTGCGCAGCCCAGGGGCAGCCCCCTTCCAGCCTGCGCCCGACAGCATGCGGGGCACAGGGCAGCATGCAAGGGTGCACATGCCCGCATGAGCACCCCCCGGGCATCTCAGGGTGCCCCAGGTGCCACCCGCCCACCCGCCGGGTTGCCCAGCGTCAGCTCCACCGCCGCCCGCAGGTTGAAGGCCTCCACCAGCGCAGTCTGCTTCAGCTTGGCGCTGTTGCCCACGCTGCGCGCCTGCGCGGCGGGCAAGGGAGAGCGGGAGCAGGCGCTGGGGCAGGCGCGCGGCCAAGGTACGGTGCGGCGCGGCCTGGCACTGGACGCCACCGCGTCGCTCTGCGCCGCTGCTGCACTGGACAGCAGAGCGGCCACCCCACCCCCACCTCCATGCCCTCGGTCTGCGTTCCGATGCCCAGCTCCGGGTGCTGCTGCACCCCCGCCTCCACAATGTCCGCCAGGCTGGCCAGCGCTGCCGGGAAGTCGTGCTGGCGGTACTGGCATGCCGCCACAGCGTACGCCAGCTCCGGCGTGTGGCCCCCCGCCGCGGAGGCGGCACCAAACTGCGCGGCGGCGGCGGCGTACTGCCCCTCCTTGTACAGCAGGCAGCCGGCGTTGGCGGCGGCGGACGGGTCGCCGCTGGCCAGGGCTGCCTCCAGCGCGGCACGGCAGCCCCGCAGGTCGCCGGCCTCATACTTGATGGCCGCCTGCAGCTGGCTCACCTCCTGCACGCAGCGGGGTGCTCGGCGGTGGCGGGTTGCCAGGTGCCAGGTGGACACGCGGGCAGGAAGGCAAGGCGTGGCAAGCAAAGGCAGGGAAGGTGCCCACGTCCCTCTCCCTTCACGACAGCCAGAAGGGCTTGCCTGCGGGAAGCCCTCCACCGCGGCGGCGGCACGGCTGGCGTCTGCAAACATGCCCGCCTTGCACAGGCTCTGCGCCCAGTACAGCTGGTACCGAGGCACCTCGGGGAAGCGCCGCGCCAGCTCCCAATACCTGCACAGCGACGGCATTGGCGGTCGCATCACTCGATCAGACCCAGGGGTGCGGGCGGTGCAACGCGTGTGCCCACAACCAGCGCCAGCCACATGCTTACGTGTGGGCCGCCGCCTCATAGTCCTCCTGGTGGTAGTAGCAGTGGGCCATCAGGGACAGCGCAGCGCGGCTGCCCGGCGAGACCTGCAGGCGGCGCGCCGGTCGCTGGTCAAGCGCACTCCGCACCCTGGAGCCGCCGCTGCAGCCGCTCGCAACTCACCTGCAGCGCGCCCTGCAGCCTAGAGATGGCCTCCGGTAGCTTTCCGTCGCGTATGAGGCCGTAGATGGCACCGGTTTGGCTTTGAATGGACATCTTGGGCGGGGAGAGGTTGACCGAGTCTGTTGCGGTCTGGTGCCCCACCCGACGGCACCCAGTGACTGCCAAAGCGAGTCGATACACATCAATTTCGCTGGGACGGTGGGAACGCACATACTGGCGGCAGAGGCAGTACACTACATGGGTCTGCGAGTTCCCGGGATTCAGGCCGCAGGCAGGCGGTGCAGGTGTTGTTGCAGGTGTTCCAAAAGCTGCTAATCCTTTTGGGCACTGCTCCCGGCATCCCTCGCCTCAGCGCCTGACGCGATTGCAGCCCCTGCGCTGTCGCCATGCACCTGACATGCTGCACCTGCCAGGCGCCCAACAGCGGCGGGCCCCGCTACACATGTGCACCTCGTCTTGTCGCTCCTCACCGGCTGAGGGTGGTGATTCGCCCCGCAGCAGCCAGCAGCGATCCGGGGCAGCCTGCAGGGCCCAAGCAGCCAGCGGCGCCCAGGTGAGCACTGCAGGCGGCCACCGGCCCACCCTGCCGCCCGCCCCCAGCTTGACCGCCGCTCTCAATCTCCCGCCATCCTGTGCCGGCTCCCTCTGCCCTCAGCGTCACCGATGCCATCGCTTCTGACCTCATCCTGGACAGCGTGGCGCTGCCCGAGAATTTCTGCATCATCGAGAGCCCAGAGTCGGTCAAGGCGGGCAGGCTGCCACGCCTCGCCTATCCCTGCTCCTGCTCCTGCTCCTGCCTTGCCCAGTGCAGCTTGTGCTGGTATAATCAGGGGCTGCGGCACCGTCCGGACGGCACGGTGGCGCTGGGCAGATAGCGCCCAGGCCGGCGCGCCCGGCAACCTGTTTGTCCCCACTCATGGCTTTGCACGCATGGGCGCCGCCGCCCGCCACGCCCTCCTGGTGCAGGACTTTGCGGCGCTGCAGCTGGAGGAGATTGAGAAGAACATTGCGTCGCGGCGCAACAAGATCTTCCTGCTGATGGAGGAGGTGCGGCGGCTGCGCATCCAGCTGCGCCTGCGGGGCGTGGCGGAGGAGGCGACGCCCGAGGAGGAGTACCCCTCCTCCATCCCTTTCTTCCCGCCCATCAACGAGAAGACCATCAAGATGTACACGCGCTTCTACGCCATCACGGTGGCAGGCATCATCACATTCGGAGGGCTGGTGGCTCCTATCCTGGAGGTCCGCCTGGGCATCGGAGGTGCGGCGGCAGCGGCGCTGCGGCTGCCGCTGTGGCGCGGGCACGTGGCGCTGGGCGTGCGCGGGGCGCAAGGGCAGCAGCGGCGGCTGGGGTGGCTGCCCGCGCTGCGGCAGCGCTGCGTGTGCGACGTGTGTGGCGTCGCGCCCGAGGCTGCGGCTAGCCAGCTTGGCTGCCGCCTGCGCTCCGATCCTGTGGGCGTGCCCCTCCTGCCCGCGCTCTCGCCCATCTTCAGAGGAGTCCACCAGCCTGCCTCCCCTGCACCCGACCCCAGTGCACCCCCTGGCACCTCCCTGGCCCCCTCCCCCTCCCCCTCCCGCAGGCTCCTCCTACTTTGACTTCATCCGCTCGCTGCATCTGCCCACCCAGCTGGCCCAGGTGGACCCCATAGTGGCCTCCTTCTGCGGCGGCGGCGTGGGCGTGCTGACCGCGCTGCTCATCGTGGAACTCAACAACTCCAAGATGCAGGTGGGGCGCCTGCGGTGGGTGGCGCGGTGGTGTGGTGGGGGTGGTGGGAGGATGCGGGGCGTGCGGCTTGCGCAGAATAAGGTGCAGGTGGGGTGTGCGGGCCGTGCGGGCCACAGGCTGGAGTACCAAGCTGCTGCCGGCGGCCCGCGCCACCCCGCCGCTCCCCGCCTCCTGCAGGAGAAGCGGCGGTGCATCTACTGCGAGGGCTCGGGCTACCTGACCTGCGGCAACTGCGTGGGCACGGGGGTGAGCGGCGGCGAGGGCGCCATGTGCGCCAACTGCGCCGGCACCGGCAAGGTCATGTGCACGAGCTGCCTCTGCACCGGCAAGAAGCTGGCCACGGAGCACGACCCGCGGGTGGACCCCTTCACGCTGGTGAGCCAAAGCACAAGCCAGCAGGCCAGCAGGCAAGGCAGGCAGGCCGGCAGGCAGTGCTGGCAGGACCAGGGCCTGGCTGTCTGGTTGGGCGCCTACTGCTAGCTGTGGCGTGCACTGCATGTGAATGGGCCCACCTGTGGTTGAGGAGGCCCAATGCGTGCTGTGGCCGCTGACCCGGGCATGCCGCGCTGCGCCCCCGCTGGCAGGGCATGGAGTGAAGACCGAGGCTCCCTCGCAAGGAAGAGCGGCTGGGGCGTGGTCTGGCCCCTCCAGTCCTGGCGCTGCGCCGCCCAGCCAAACCCACACCCTCCTTCAGTTGGCGCTTGACGTTTGATGATGGATGGCGAGAGCGACACCGCACTGGCATTTTTCCTGCACTGCCAACCCCTGTTTTTGTGGGCACCTCCGTTTTATGAGCTTTCTGTACTTACTTTCATGGCTGTCATTTTACAAGCATTCAAAGCAGATTTAAGGTGATGTCATCCCCAGGGTGTGCCAGGCACACCGAGCTGGTGGTGGTGCTGGTGATGCAGCGCAGTGAGTTGCTGGGCCAGGAGACAAGGCATGCGCAGCTGGCAGGGCGAGAGGGCGCTGCATTCGCATGAATTCCTGTGGCGGCGACCGACCCAGACCCTTGCAGACGCCTCGCTGGCTGCACGATACAGGGCAGCTGGCAGGCGGCAAGCGCATCCGGGGCACCCGCTTGTGCATGCCCTTCCCCGCCTAACTTCCCTTGTGTGTCCCCAATTCCCTCGCTGCCAGCTCTGATAGCTCTATTCAATTTGTAGGGCATTACAAGGGATAGCAAAGCAAGGCGGCAAGCTGACGCAAAACAAATCAGATGGCAGTATTGCATAGACCAGCGCTGAACGGCGGTCAGGGGCCATTTAGGAAGCAGAATTTGATTTGAGCAAGGCACAGAAAGAGCAGAGCGCACGTACGCTGGTGGGTACATTGTAGAGAGGGGCCGAGGCGCGAGGCAGGAACACAAGTGCTACTGGGCTGAACGGGGGCGAAAGAAGTGGCAAAATGTTAAAGTGAATTTATGGGGACACGGCTCACAAATACCAGGTTGGACGTGTGTTGCATACGGGGTCTGGGGCACGAACAAAACAGGTTGGGCTGGTGAGCGATGGATCACGCAACCTTGGCCGTGACGGCAGGCGCCGCTGGCGTCACGTGCGGCAGCGGGCGGCGGTTCAGCGCAAAGGGCACCGCGAAGCCAAACACGGCCAGCCAGCACCACATGCTCTCAAAGGTGGTGGTGGTGTGGGAGAGTGCATAGGAGATGGCAAAGAGGCCGGCGGTGAAGGCGGCGCCGGCGGCGCCGTGCGAGGCTGGGCGCATGGCGGCAAAGGGGGCGCAGATGAGCAGCAGGAAGGTGAAGCGCGGGAAGACGTTGAGGTTGGCCACCCATGGCCACTTGAGGTGGCCCTCGGCGCCGCAGGGGTAGGAGCACCACGACTCGACGCCGGACAGCGACACCGCCCACAGCACCGCCGCAAACAGCGCCGACATGTGGGCCAGCGTCTGCAGCATCTGCCCGCTGCGCAGCTTGGGCGGTGTGCAGGCGTGGGCGATCATGCAGTGCACCAGCGGCTCCAGGGAGATGACGCCGAGCAGCACCACATTGGCAGCGCGGTGCAGCAGCCCACAGTCCTGGTCGGCCCACAGCGCTACTTCGCACAGCTGTATCTGGCCCACGAAAAGCAGCCAGAGCGCAAACCAGCGGTCTGTGCTCCAATTCCTGTAGAACAGGGAGGCTGCGAGCACGCAGACGATGGCATAGGAGCCCACTGAGACGGACAGAGACCAGCACATTGCGGAAATTGCAATGTGGGGAGGGACAGGCGGTGGGGCTGGGCGGCGGATTTGAAACGCGCCCATGGGGGATGTGCTGGCGGCCGCCAACCGGGCGGGAGAGTCGGTTGACCGCCTTGCAGGCATGCACCCCAGCCCCAGCACCTGGAAACGATCAGCCCATCGCATCGCCGCATATTAGGTTTCGGGTTACAGACCAGGTTGGCCCTGGCAGACAGGTGATCGTCATTGTCATCAGCCGCGGCTGGAAGCCCTCTACTCTAACAAAAGCCCTAGGGAGATCGCGCCTTGTTGGCGCTGCATCATGTGAGATCGATAAATGCGAGTACAAAACGCGTACTGGACCCCAAGTGCCCCACAGACAGCGAGAGGCGTAGGGCAAAACGTGGTTGAGCTGACAGTCGGGTCGCCCCGCTGGTGCCGCCACCTGCCCCTGCTCAGCGACGCATGGTCTGCGTGTCGGCCGCATTGGCCTGCACACGACCCAGACAGCACAGCACGGCACGCAGCGGCACCTCAGTCTGCGGGACCCTGGCTGCAGCTCCAGGCATGCACAGGCCCCCAAGTGCAGCGTGGCGCCGTGTGGGCAGCAGGCCAGCACAGGCACCGCACGCAGCGGCGGCGAGGGCGCCCAGCCCCTCCCCCTGACCGCCCGCCCCGCCGGCGCTTGCCTGCATGAAGCCGGCGCGGATCTGGCCGGAGACGTTGGCCACGCCGGCGGGGGTGTGGTCCAGGAACACGGTGTTGCTCTTGCCGGTCATGCCAATGTCGCGCAGCACGTCGAAGTACTGCAGGGGCGGTACGGGGGGGAAGAGCGTGGGGAGCGGCAGGGGGAGGGTGGTGGCAGCTGCCCCGCAGCTGGTGGAGGCGGAGCCGCCACCTCCAACTTCACAGCAGCGCACAGGGAGCGCCGGGGCTGCGTGTGGCCAGCCCCCCGCGTGCTGCTGGGGTGTGCCCGCGCCCCGAGCCACGCCTCTCCCCTGGGGACCCCCCACCCCATGCGGGCTGCCCATGCGGCTGCCAGGTGCCACCCCCCCCGCCCACCCACCTGTGTCAGCACCAGCAGGTCCATCACCTCCTTACTGTTCACATCCGTCACCTCGCTCTGGAAGCTCTGCACGCTCTCGCGCAGCCCGGAGATGATGGCCTGCACGGGCGTGCGGCACGGTGGGGTGGGCGATGGCGGTGAGAGGGGGGTGGGTGGGTGGAGGGGGTGGGCTGGGGGGGGTGATATAATGGCAAGGGGGAGGGATGTTGGCTTG